TCTGCTTTACTGCATTTTGTGAAGCCACTTCCACAAGGTGTCACCAATGCAAAAATCAGTATCTCCAAAGATGCACTTAATTTTCTATTGGCAGTAGCTTAGTGGCAAAAGAACTATGCACACACTGCTCAGGCTAATCCCCAAAATACAAAAATTCTGCTATTCACAAGAAGCTTTCAGCTACTGGCAATAAGATACTTTGAGAAAAGCCCAAAACAAACCCCAAACCAAACAACTCCCCCCTCCTGACCACGGTGCTATTCAAATTGTTGAGATGAAGCCCAGAACTTTCCTTCTGGTGAAACTTCTAAACACTGGCTGTAATTATGGCTTAAGTTGCAACTGAACTGATTACCTACTTAGGAGTTGAAAAAGTAAATTAAATTCTGTGTCAAGAACTTTCCAACAGAGATACGGATGTTTTAAAACTACCCTATGAAACCCTGGAAAAACTCCAACCAAACTAACAAATCTGATTGCCATGGTTAAGAACTGAAGACAGCAAACAGCTGCTAAAACAGTCAGGGAAACAGACTCGTAAGGAGATGGCAAGAACCCTTCTAGCCTCATTATGAATAATTAAAACCACGTGGCTTGTTTACTTTAATAAAACTAAGCTGAAGGAGAGACATAATCACCTGCTATAAATGCACCACAAGACAGCTAAACATAAAAAAAAAACAAACACCAAACCTGCCTCAAAATTTTAGGTTAAGAAGTTTTTACCATCAAAGGAAGGTAATACTTGAACCAGCTGACCAGTTACTTTATTAGTAAAACTAGCCCAGGCCAATAAAAAACAAACCCAAAAAGCAGAAGTACCCTTTTGGATGAGAAACTGTTAAAGAAGCCGAATTTTCTTTTCCAATTTAATCTATCTCCATAAGGAGATTTAAGATGGAATAAACTCCTCAGATTTAATTAACTGATTCAAGTCCATTCATTGAAATTAATTGAACTGCTGCTTTTTGTACTGTTTCATATCCTCATGAGAAGATTACATGCAGAATGAGGTGAGCTGTGAAACTGCTGGAAAGTGCTGAAATACTCCCTGTTTGCAAAGATCATCCTTTCTTAGAACTAATATAAATAGCAAAAACTCCTCCTCTCTGGTTAAGTCTTCACTTGCATCAGAAATCAGACTCATTCTAACACCAATGAGACATGCTAATTATTTACAAATGGCCCAGTGTCTAGCCAGGACATCTGCTTCTGGAGAAGACCAGAAACAAGCAAACATAGGATGCCTCCAAAACACACATACCTGCCTCTATAGCAAGAAAAGCAGCAGAGAGACGGATACTAACTCTTTGGGGGACAAACAGTAAAATTATTTTGACAGTGTGATTTACAGGCCACTTTCATGACAGCCCCACATGGTCTGATAAGTCAGTTTGTCAGAAGCATCCCTCACATTACTCCAAAAAGACTAACTGGTTAATCCCTAAAGCCCAGGTAATCTGTAGTTCTTCACCAAATCACTCTCTGTGTCTTGAACTGTGTTTTCATTCACCTATAGGTAAGTAATCAAATTCAAATACCTGGTATCAGCATCTCCTACCTCCACCCCTTCTGGAAAGTCTCCTCCTCTTCCTTTGAGGTTAGGGTGGTGAGGCACTGGAATGGGTTGCCCAGGGAGGTTGTGAATGCTCCATCCCTGGCAGTGCTCAAGGCCAGGTTGGAGGAAGCCCTGGGTGATATGGTTTAGTGTGAGGTGTCCCTGCCCATGGCAGGGGCCTTGGAAGTAGATGATCTTAAGGTCCTTTCCCAACCTAACTATTCTATGATTCTATTAGATCCTGAGCATTTACTGGTTTCGAAAGCAGAAAACAGAGTTTTGGAGCAACTGCCTAGTACTTCTGCTGGTAGAAACACATTCCTTCTATTCTTAGATGTTGATATATAGCTGAAAGTACTCTAAAATGGTAAGGCTAGAAAGTGAAGGTCTGCTGAACAGACTCATTTAGGCAGGGAATTAAAAAATCTGTGCTTTACGCTGAAAGACTACAATAAGCCTTTGTAGAATGCCATGTTTAAAAGGACAGAACAAAGGCAACCCCAAACGTCAGGCCAAACAAGCCGATTCTGAAATTATTTTGGAGAAATTAAGTCACACGAGCTTTCAATTTTTCACCCCATTTTTAGAGGCAGATTTCTCAGGAGGCTCAGTTTCTTTACATAACCATGAGAAAAAATTCAGCGTCTTTCTATACTTTTACACTCAGCCACCATAATTTAAAACAATGTAAAAAGAGAGAGCCCAGAGGAATTTACAGACCAGGACTGGTAAAACATCTTTACCTCCCTTGAAACTCAATTAGGAAGGCGCAGTTTCCTCTATAAATTAACCAGGCAGGTTATGATCTGTCTCCTGGGAAGTACCAATTCAAAACTTGTTTCCAGTTGTGCATGCTTCACATGCAGAATTAAGATCCTTGTCAAGTGCAATGAGCCATCTCTTCAAGTAATTCATACCAAAATAAATTACTGAAATCAAGAAGCTGGATGTAATCACTCTCCCCTTTCTTTCCCTTCCCCTTCTCTTTTATGGCCTTCTGCAGACAACCTACATGAAGATGCCAGGGATAGGAAGCTGCATCTTAAAGTACATGATGTATAGAGAAATATCTGCTGTTTCTTGACAATTCTGAATGCGTAACTGCGTTGCTGCATAAAACACTCTTCTTAAAAGAATTACATTAATTATATGACACACTTTCCCTAAAACTGACATCTATGCAGCGCTACAATCTTTGCAGTTGACACTCTGGGGAAAGACAACTACTTCAGCTTTCCACAAGGTGGCATGGTTCCCTTTGCTGAAAGAGCATTACTCACTAAGGAAATTGATTTTTTTTCCACCCAAATGTACTGGCCACTATCATGAATAGCTTTAAATAGGCTTAAGATCTCTAAAAAATCTCTAATGAGGTCCATTTTAACAAATACTTCCAATAGCGAGTTTAATGAATTAAAGAAAAAGCTTCCTTATGCTGAAATTTAACAAAAAGTATCTGTGCTTGCTCCCACACGAAAGCAAGCTTCAATGAAATACAGTCAAAGCACAGCATTCAGCAGAAGAGAGCCTAAGGGGCTAAAAATTTGATTTCCAGGTCTCAGGTCATCAGTTCCAAATCCTATCAGACTTCTAATATTTTGTGAAAATGGACTGGAAAGGAATCCACCTACCATACCCCCTTCCCATCCATGGGAGAATTAAAGATCCCAGAGCATTTTCCACCAGTGAAGATTTTCCCTGCTATTTCTGGGCCACTTCCCTGTTGCTACCATCCCTGTAAGGTACAGCCACGCAGTAGCTGCCTTTCCTGTAGTTGGGGCAGAGGCACTGAACAGCTCTGCCCACAGCCTCTCCTGCTGCAAAGCAACATCAGTGTTGCTGAGATTCACCTGCTGGTCCACACACTTGGTCATGGCTGACCCAGCACAACATCCCCATCAGGCTCTGACAGAGAGCAGGTAAGGTGCTTTGACTCAAGTGGTTAAAAATAACAAAAAAAAAGAACAACCCAGACCAAACATGTATAGTTTCCCCTGCTCCTCTCAGTCACTTCTGTGGATGTTTCAGCACTCAGTTTTGACACCTGTTTATGTGTCATCAGCATGGGTTTGCCTAAACAGGAGAAACAAAAGCAGCTGTGATACACTAAAGAGGACAAGCTTTTGGCACTCACCTATTTCACAGACACCGGATGGGTATCAGTACCATAGATTTTGAAGTTTAAACAGAAAGCAACAAAAGGAAGGGAGATGATGGCACGTGTTACTCATCCATACAAATGCTGCCAACAGTTCCCCATGCAGGAAAGGCTCCCAATTCTACTCAGTGCAAATCACCTCGTAAAGAGTCAGACTTATCAAAAGACTGCCTCCCTATAATGCTTTCCATACCATAGGGCTTATCATGAAAGGAACAGCTTTCTGGTTCTGTGGACTGGTACCTAATGCTCATCAGTCCTCTGACTCCATTTACTCTGCTCAGAATTTAGTGCTTGTCATTGTAAATGAGCACAGCTGAAACTCTTGCTTTTTAGCTGCCAGCCTGCCAAGCAAAACACATCTGATTTAAACATCACAAGCCAAATAATCAAGATGACAAAGAAGTTTAAATACCCTGATCAGTCTGTTCTCTCCTCAAATATGTCATTAATGTTAGTATAATTAACTGTTACATACTGTCTTCCCGCATATAAGTAGCTTCTGATCCTGAAAATCACTGCAGGTGTGTGGCACAGCCAAAACACTTCTATAAATTACTTGGATTTCCAATTACAGAGATTCACATACACCCTTAAAAATGGATGCAAGCACAAGGCAAACTATGAACAAGACAAATCTGGAGATATGCATATAAGCAGACAAAACCTTCTGCTGCTTCTTTCTCCTCAAAAATCTTAGATTACAACAGTAAAAACTCAGATTTTATTATGTGCTTGTTAACATGATCTCATTTTTTTCTATGAATTTTATTCTCAAACCAGGTTGCATTCTGTGTCCTAAAATACGAAGTTCTTTCATCTAAAAAGTCTTGCTATTAGTCTGAGCTCAAACAGGCACACTAACAAAAAACAGTACTTAAAAAAAGAAGTAAAGTCAAGAATAAAGAGCAAATTCTGACACTGAATGCCTCAGGAAGCTATCCAGCCATGACAAACAACAGAGCCTTCTCTCTTGCAGGACAGAAACCTCACACAGTTGTGCAAGAGGTCAGTTATTACAGTTGGACAGTAGAATATTAAACTGAAACATTCGATTTACTGGCTTATGTGATTTTAAAATAAGTAATACTTTCCTGACCAAACTGAATGAAGCTTTAAATCTGCAAATTCCTTTGATGAAAATAGTTCTGCACAGTCAATCTACATTGTGCCAAGAGGAGAAGTACTGTTCATTTAAAAACTTAGGAGACATCTGCATCTTGCAATTCATGTTTACAATTGCAAATTTTTAACTGTTATAATACTGTGGATCTTCTTACAGACCTTGGCTTCTGGATCACTGTTGATGCTACAGGAATCATCATCATCAGATTGTGGACCATTTCTGTTAACAGGAGGGAAGAAAAAAAAAAGAAGTCATCTTAAAGTCATATAAAAATCACAGCACAGCACAAAATGGAGCTGAGATTTCCATGCACACTTCTGAAGTCATTGTACCTGAGCTTCAAAGAGGCATAGCGTAACGTTGCTCCTTCAAACTCTTTCAGACTTGGGTCGGGGTTCACAGTGGCTGCATGCAGATCCTAGAGATAAAAGCAGAGTTATTAGTATAGTTCTAAGCGCTACTAATACAGTATTAAGTACACCACCATGTTATTTCTCATTTCAAAGGGAAATTAAATCCTCCCTGCAAAGAAGCAATAGTATTTCTGGCTGAAGTTGAAAAGAGGCATGCATATATTCTCAAGCTGCATTTCATTCACTGCAGGCATCTTAATTGTTACATCATGGCAGTTACCCTGCTAGTTTAGACTGAATTCATTCCAAGTGGAAAGATCAGAAAAGGCAGCATGTTTGTGAGCTAGACATCCCTAGCAGTACCCCCATTCACTTTGGCCTAGCTTATGAATGACATTCATGGAAAAATAAAAAGGGAAAAAAAAACAGCCACTGCCATGCAAAAAACAAGGGTAACAGTATTAAAGGTTCTAAAATCTGACAATATACTTGCCTTCCAAATGTCACTATTAATCTTTCCCCCATTCAGTACAGCAAAATCACTCCATGGCTGTTTCTAGACACATAATTATTCACACAGGAAGAAGCACATTGATAAAAAAAAAAAAGAAGAAAAAGAAAAAAAAAAAGAAAAAAAAAAGAAAAAAACACAAGACACTGTTGTTAGCATTGATATTTACAGGATGGGTTAGGGAACAGATCACCTCAAACTTTAACTAATTACTCTGCTATACCATGGCATTTGAGGGAAGGGGAGGGAAAACATGCCTCTAACAGTTACTTACCAAAACAAATGAAACAAGGAAAGTTAATATAAATTAGGAACAGACAATGAAACTACTCTTTAACTATGATCTTAAAAGCAAGCAAAATGAATCTGAATATGAATGTTGGCCACAGCTGCTACAGCCTTTGATAAACAGCAATTAAGGGGAAACATTAGATTTCTATTTGATCAGTGCTTTTGCTAAAAGACCCCAACACTACTGGAACTGGAAATACTGAAACACAACTATATATATACAAGGATAAGGTATATACAAGGCAAAAATCAAGTATTTCTAGAGACGTGGCACAAGAAAAGGACAGTGAAGGGAAGGAGGATTAATAAGGAGCGCAGAGAGACTTCTTGCTGAAGAAAGTCTAGCAGCTTTTTTAAAGTGGAACAAACCAAAACCCAAACAAACCACCCTCTCATTTCCATTCACATTTCTCAAAATTTTCAGATGCATTCGCTGGCACAGCCAAACAAGTAGCAATGCATTTAGCACTACAGCAACCTGAGGTTCATCCTTCTCTGTTAAGCCTGGGAGGAGCAGGTGATGTTGGTGCTGTCTTCCCCATGAGGACAGAAATCCCAGAGTCCTGACCAGAGCCAGGTGGGACAGGAGATTTGGCTCTTGAGAGACCCAGAGCCACCTCTTCATAGATTCACCAAACCAAGTATCCCTGTACCTAGTGGCCCCTTTAAGATGAGCTCTCCCAGGATGTCCAGCTCAGCCCCAAGATGAAGTGATTCCTATTCATATGGCCCAATGCACTGATTTGTAGGGTAGACCTCTCACCTCAGAAATGTTCTCTGTACATCTCACTGGAGGAATTATTTGTGAGAAACAACTCCCTGGAGTAACTCTTTCCTAAAATGCATTTGAATTAATTGAGTTGTTAGGTTTCCCTACTAAGCCCCTCCTCTTTAATTATTAGCTGCTAATGGTTATGTTCCCCAAAGGAGAACTTCCAGAGGTTTTCCAGGCCTGGGATGAGTCATGCTATAGGACAACAAAACTACCATCACCAAATTCTGCCATGATCTCAAAGAAGCTCTCACTAAAAACTAAACCCTACAGCTTTTTCTCCCCACAAGAAGCAGGAAAGAGGCAGCAAAACCTCTAAAATTTGGAAAAGAATGTTGCAAAGGATGAGGATTCACAAAGGAAGTCATTTGGCAACACACAGGAGAAAAGAGCCCTCGAAAACCAAGTCAAATTTAATCAGCTGTGTGAAACCAAAATAAATTTTCATGCTTTTAAGGGGGAGAAAAGGCAGGAATGTTCCAGATTACTCATATTTAACTTTTATTAGCATTTTGGTTAAATCTGATGGATTTTTGCATAATGATTAATCCATAATTGCTCTGGACTGAAATTTACTGATTAGCTCGTGAAAGGACAATTCCCTTGCAGCATCATTCCTCCCTACCCATTTTTCCCTGATTTTCTGTTCAACAACAGTAACAGCTTTTCTTTGTGCTAAGCATCCACAGTAAGCTACAACATCAGAACAGCTGACTTGATCCATTCTTTGTTGACTGCCCTAAGCTGTGAGCCACATTCTACTATACGAAGCAAAGCTTCTGAATAGCACATCATTTAAGAGACAGGGACACAAAATAAGAATTTAAATTTAAAAATTAAAAAAGAAAAAGAAAAGACAAAGGAAGAAACAAGACAAAGGGTAAAAAGGCATTACTCAGGGTGGGAGGAAGGCATGTCTAAATGTTTATTTGATAAACTCAAAATCTGAAAGAGCCCAAATAAACTAATCTCAAGACTAGCAAATGATGCTTCACAAACAAATGTGATACAGATGGAAGTATTTTTTTTTATGAACTCATGGAAGCCTACTGGGACAGATATGAAATGTTTCCATGCCAATCTTCAATCCTAGATTATACTCTTTCATCTGCCTAAGACCTATATATCCCTCAACCTTTTCAGAAGAAAGCAATGCAAATTCCAGCACGTGGGAATGAGCTAAACCAGCCCGCCCAAACCAGATTATCTCAGAGCACAGGCTTCCAAACAGCAATGAGGGAGCACAGTTCACACATGGTCCAACTTGGAGCTGGAAGCTGTCCACCATAACTGCTGCTACCAATGAGGGTCAGGATAAAGGCATTTTGGAGTCCCTATTCTAGATTGGATTCTACATCTTTTGTGACGTGTCTGACCGTATCACAGACACCCAGATTAATCCTTCACAGGGAGGGAGAAGGGGAGCACTTGGGGGAGGCTGCAGTGCAGTGAACAGGGACTACACCTGTATCACATGCAAGTGACATGGAGATGACCAGGTACTGGCAAGTAGTGATGAAGAAGAGATGAAAAAAAACAAAGACTCATGATAGCTGATGCTGTTAAATCTAGATTACAAGTGATTTCATTACTTATGCCTATTTTAAAACCACACCATGGCTTATATCCCTCTTACTGCTCTGTTCTGTGATTCTGCTCAGAACCAGCTAAAACCTGAAGGATTTTATCTCCAATTCCCTTTCAACAAAGCTTAACATCTGTGGTTTCAAGAAATGCAAGACCTTTCCTAACAGTTCCCACTGTAACTCCAGCTGCACCTCTTTTAGCAGTTCCAGTATTCGACAGTGCACGAAGTCTTGAGCCAAATTCACACTCCCATTTTGAGCTCCACTATTCTGTCTGCTGGTACTGTACTGCAGTGCTATCCTAATAAGCACAGAGTCAAAAAATCAGTATTGTTTCAATAATGGTATGCAAGATGCTTATCAGTGAATGCAGAAACCTTCAAGGGACAAATGCCTTTGTTTGTACTTAAAATAACCATATAATCTCATACTAATACATATTTTGGAAATCTGCTTGCTTTCTATATCATCTTTTACACTACAGTATAGGGTCTTGATGCTGCCACAGAACTGTATATGTATAAATCTTTGCTGGATCAAATTCCTTGTTGAATTAGAACTGCCATATAAATGCCTAGATGAGCCGAAGTACTCACATACACAGCATTTTAGAATGACTCCTCAAATGTCTTATTTAATACATCTATGCTGTATTAAAATCACACATTTCGTTTTCCTCACGATGCTGCTGAGAATTACTGATCATTATTTATAATCACACACTGTTCTTCATTTAAAGCAAACAAAACTGTGAATACATCTGCCACATTACCAGATCTGAAATTTTCATTATAAAGACATTTTAAACAGAGGTAAAAAAGCATTTTACATGAATATATGCGTTTTCCCTCTGCAATGAGCAACCATACTGATTTTTTGTGAAAGATAACTTACTAATTAAAGCCCTATAATGCATATTTTATACTTTATGGTGAAGTAATATCCCTCATGTGTACATTGTGGGAAATTATACTGGAAGCTTACATTCTTTGACTTCTTGTTTTCTACCTGAATCATAACAACTGCTGTTCTTTCTCAATGAACCCTTTCACAAATACTTTCCAGCATGCTTGCTGTGTACAGTACATTCCACAGGAGCTTGACTGATGCTAACCACAACTGAAATGTTGTGGTCACGTCTGCAACCCTTACAAGTAGCATTTATGAACATGTGGCAGCAATCTTTCTAAAATAATGAACAAGAATGCACATGTTTAAGCCTACAAAGGATAACAGTCTCAGGGTCAAGATAGTAACGTTACTCAAATGGCCTTAACTCCTCTTAACTTTCATTTAAGTTATTCTGGCACATGTATCAACAAACTCAAGAACAAAAGAAATGTCACCTCTATACAGTTTAAATAAATAAATAAATAAAACCTAAGTATTGCCTCATCCAAACCTCAAAGCTAGTACAAAGCCTTTCCTTGATGTCATAAAACTGTGGACGTTGTTCTGAAAAGTCAGTATGAAAAAGAATTCATTTCAAAGCAATTTGCTTTTCCATTAGTATTTCATTCCACAGAGGTCTTCCCAGCACAGTAAAATAAAGTGGTTGCATTTTTTATTTTTTTTTTTTTAAGCATACTCTTCCTGATAGTTTATTTTTCTACTTCTATGACACCAATCAACCCCCTCCATTGTGCCTGAAAGGACTATTTTAAAGGCAGTGCTCTTTTGGCACATGTGGGAGAGAATGACTTCATTTCTTGTTAAAAGGTGGACTGCAACACAGTGATCCAGTCGTACAGCTATTTTTTACTAGCAGGATATTAAGGGACTTACACTTGAGACACTTCATGTTTATTTGATAGAAACTACCCTGTAAAGGAAATAAGAGTCTCAAATGAAGACTCATGTTTCTGTGATGCTCCTATCAAGGGAACCAAAAGCAAGATGATGCAGAGCCCAGCCAAAAGACTGATAGAATGTGCAGAACTTTTATGTATCCTATATTCATATAATGCAGCAACACTTCAATGTGTGCTACAGAGCTGCCGTAGTTTCATGTTCATCAGGCACTGGCTAATTTATCTGAGATATGTCTCATCTCATCCTAAACATCCAAAGTTTAGGATGTTTCAGAGGGCACAGCCATTGGAAAATGCACACACGAAATTGATACTTACGATGTACTATCAACAAATAGCTACAATTCAGGATATTACCAGGTCCCATACTCTGGAGATCAGTTTAAACCTGCAAATTCAGAAAGTTACTTCAATTTTCTTTACAGTATGTAGCCCACAAGAAGGCACTCAGTTACCTCAGTTTCTGGAGTAGGTGATGGAGTAATGGAACCAAGCGATCCTTTTCGTGAACCCTGGAGATCTGTTGGGATGGATACGGGACGCTGCCATTGAGTTGTCCCTGTTGGTATGTGCCAGTAGTAGATCCCAGCAACATCATTGATTTTTTTCCAGCCAGGTGGTAAATCTGGGTCTGTCTGAAATGAATGATCACTCCAGATATCTGCTGGGAAGAGAGGGGAATAAAGGGGGCGGGGGGGGGGGGGGAGAGATATGATTTTACTAAGACATGAACCATTCTTCTTGCATCAGGGACAGACCCATGGAAGTTATGCACAGCTGGTATTGCTATTGTGCAGTTCCTGTGTAAATGAACACCAGAAAAACATACTGAATTCCTGAGGCTCAAGGCTCATAAAGCTCCTGGGTTTGAAGTATTAATTCTATGATAATACGGAAAGCATGGCTTACGACAGAAATTTAAAGCATGATTCACAAAAAGAATGTATCCTTTTGTATAGGGGTCAGTTTACCTACCACATATATTGCAGTAAACCAGGATCCTCTCAAAGGCTGTACTGTAAGACACTTCTTTTATAATATTCTTAAAGCAACAGGGGCAAGAAAAATTCTGAATAAACCACTGAACTAAAATTAAAAGAGCCAGTGTAACTAAGCTGTATGAGAAAGGACACACTGGGTTTTTTCAAGAAACTTGGATTTGTATTATAACTTGTCTTTCTACAACAACAGTCAAATTCTTATCAACAGAAAGACTACTTTAAGATGTAACTGATTTAAAACTCTGCACAAGAATGAGATACATCTTTACACGGCACTACAGACCTCTCTTTTTCTGGAGAAAGGCCTTACTGAACAGGGAGGCACCACAGCCTACATACACTCTGGAGACGAAGTCCAAAGTCAGGTTTCATCACAGGAGACTGGGCAGTCAGCTTGCAGCTGATCCTTTTGCATCCCTGTCCAAACACAAGGGTGCGTGAGAGCCATCACTATCCAGGCAGGCCAGCTCTGACCCCACACTGCCTCCGACATGCCAGCAAGTCCTCATCAGCAAGCTGCTACCTGGAAATCTGCCCAAGATAACTGAGCTGTCACCACCCGACTTCAGAAACACAGCTCTGCCAGCTTAAAGGTCAACATAGCTGGAAGTTCACAGCTGGTCTTCTGCAGGCAGGTTCACGTGAATGAACAGGTTGCAAAGACAGGACTGATAGTTTCTAACTGGAGTTTTGTCTCACTAAGGACACATGATTAAAACCTTGTCCACACTGGGGAAAGACCAGCTATTCATGGGAATGTTATGGAAGAAGCATGGGCCAATCTGCAAAAGACATGTGGTAGAAGATTCTGAAGACTAAAATGGAAGATTACATAAAAACATTATGACAAGTCCCTCAGGGAAAACAGATCTTTCCCCTCTACCTAAAGCTGGCTTACAGTTGGCACCACAGCCCCTTCTTACAGGGTCCAACATGACGGGACACAAGGATGCTCCCTGAAAACCTCTGGCACTGTTCTCTGCAGAACTGAGAGAGAGAAATTTGCTCGCTGCACCCCACCATGCAGCCTCTGGTTCATCTCCTCAGGGACTCTGCAACACGACAGTGATAGACATGTTTTTATAAGAATGGGAAAACAATGAAAAAAAAAGAAATAATCAGAAGTGAGAGCCCAAGGGGAGGGAGGTACCTGCAATGCCTTATCCTTCCCTTTTATAACCAAACAGGGAATTTGTGTTAGCCATTTCTTTTTAAAACTTAAAATAAAAAGAAAAAAACTAACAAAAAGCCAGTAAGGCTTTAGAAAGGTATTTAATAAATGTACAAAAGCGTAAAGGAGTCTGAAGAGATTCCCACTTGCTAAAGTTCTCTGGTCAATTCCCCCAGAGCTAAATGCTTGTGTCTGAATGGCTGAACCATGGAACCTGTAACAGAAAAAAAAACAAACACAGCCTTCACCCCAGTAGCATTATAACTGAGGAAAACAGTTAAAACTTCAAAAATACTGGAAAAATGAAGTCTTACTTAAAACAAACCTTTCAATTCATTCTTGAAACAACTAGCAACACAGATGTACCTCCACAAAACTGTAAACCCAGCCGTTTTAACTCGTAATTCTGGCTAGGAGAGCTTTGTGAACACATTCTGTATTGTAAAGAAGATAAAACCTATATAAATGGAATACATTGCTGTTTATAACTGCCTTCTACAAATGTCAGCCTCTGCCAAAATTATTTTACTATCAGAGGCTGATCTAGGAACATGTTTAGATATTCAAAAAAGATGATAATAAACATTGTAAATAATTCACTGAAGAGCACATGTAATTGGTGACCAAGCTCTCTGGCAAACCTAGTATTTTTATTGCTGTTTCAAGGGAAAGGATAGTAATCAAGTTCTTGCCATTATGAATCACTTGATGCCTTTGTTTAGTTAAATAGAAATTAAAACTACAGCACTCAGCAGGCTCTTTCAAAGCAAACTTATGCAGTAAATGGAGACCATTTATTTTTCCATCATTTTGTTCCACAAACTGTTCCCTCCTACCGGGCATCCCCTGTAAGCCAAGGTCAATGCTCACTAAGCACAGGTTGTATTGGTGGCATCACAGCAGATGCAAACCTAAATGTAGATTACAGTCTAGATGTAGATTACAGCATCTAAACGCAGGGCAGCTTTCCAGCTGCTGTTTCTGACTATGTCTGCACCATTCTCTGCTGATGTAATCTGTGGATATTTCGTAATTAGAGAGGCTAAATGCCATGAAGCTGGAGCACCTTTTAACCAGTTCAGGCTTTTTTCTGCAGGTGCAGCTTGAAATCCGTCACTGAAGACCAAAGGCAAGAAACAAATACAGATGCAATGAGAACGGCAGGAGCTCCACAGACACTGCCTGAAAGAGCAGGAATATATGGTACACCAAAACATATTTTAATTTATCAGCAAGTTGTGTTAAAGTTTTGAGACTACAATTACTCTTTAAAAAAAAAAAAAAAGAACTAAACTTGAGGAAAATATTCAATTAGGGCTGATTTTGTGTTATAACAACAGTGGAATGGAAGAATATTGGCAAGATGCTTGATTCCCTATGTACCAAATTCTGTTATCAAGAAAACTAGTTTCTCCGCCATCCTTAGCATAAATACTCCACCCACTACTGTCATAAGCCTGTTTATCATCAGTCTAGCACTAAAATCTGGCAGTATGATAATGTGCCTGTGCTAAACTAATCAGGATCTCTTCTTGTTTTAGACCAGAAGTGTACCACCTCATTTCAGTAACAAATCTCAACATGCCTGTCTGTCATTATGTGATAGAAACAAAGGAAAAATGCACGAGCAATGGAACTGTATGGAAGGAAACATTTAAATATTATTTAAATTAGACTGTAATAAACAAACTTTCTGCTTTCATTTAGTCTCTAACAAAAATTAATAAAAGCAGCAACTAGGTGCTACTTCCACATGAAAGAGAATTTGGTGGTGATGATAAGCAAGGTGCTGGGGATGGAGACCAAAGAGCCAGTGCCCCTCTGCTCAGGTCCTTGTGCATGAGGGAACTGGAACCTCAAACCTGGTTTGCTAAAGGCCAAACAAACCTATTTCCTGAAAAAATACTCTTAAGCAAAGGTAACAGGTCTAATGCAGTAACTTTTTGCATAGGATATGTACTTGGAAAAATGGGCATGTATTTCGGATGCACAGCTCTTCTTCGGGTGAAAACAAATCCCACCAACCAGCATGGCTAGGGCACATAATTACAGGCAAGAGTAGTACTCTTGAATAGAAGGGACCACAGTCCCAAAGGGCTAGAAGTTGGTAGCATATGTGACTTCAAAACAGGGACAGCAATAGTACTATATAGAGCCATCAGTGCTGGAAATTCCGTACCTGGGAGGTGCACCATAATAGCACCTATATCACAGGACAATTTAACTTCATTTCACAAGCTAAAAGCACTTTTTTGGAAAATTGGGAGAGAGCAGCAAGGTAGACTCAGAGTAATGCAGAAAATATATTCATGGAAATCCTACAGGTATCATGGCAACAATAAAGGGACATGTGTGCTTTGCTTTCTAAGGGATTAATTTCCACATACTGGCCTTATTTCACCTACTTGGAAGCTGAAGCAGATGTAAATGCACAGCCTCTGGCTGAAGCAAATGCAGCTCTGCTAGAGTCAGTGGAAGTTAGTTAATCTGCCTTTCCAGCTAACGAGGGCTCTTTTCACTGCCTGGTAGCAGAATGAACAAGTGAGACCACTTGTCTGCAAGGCTCAACAATACTTGCAATCACATGATCTAAATTATCTAAATAGGTTAAGAAATAAAATACCCATACAGAGATAAGGATGAGAAAGTCCTTTTTTTTTGTTGTTGTTTCCATCAGTAGGACTGTTATGTGACAATTTTTCTTTTCCTCTGCAAACATCCTCCAAATAAAAGGGATACCACTGAAATACAGGATTTGATCCAGACTTTGATTATCTACAACTGTCACAAAACTGTATCTCCACACTTAACTGAAAAGGAGTGTTCAGTATCCAGGCTGAAAGCACAATGGTCCAAACAGGAACACTTTCAGAGGTTTCCAAGTCCAGAAAAATATCCTGGTAAATAATAAACCTGTAAATCCACTTCTGAATCTCTGGCTTTCCCATTGCTTACATTCCAGTAGTGGATACACAATGTAAATGAAAGAATTCAAGCTCAAAAATGCCTTGTTTATAAATAGAAGAGCTGCACCAAACCTTCCTATGTCAAAAATTGCAAGAAATGGGATGGTGACAGGATCTAACAACATGCTGTCCTAGTGTTTGGGCAGCAATGGGAAACCATTAGCTTAAAATCTGATGGCTTTCTTCATTACTGGGATGAAGCATATGAACGAACTAGCCCACAATATCACGTGCTGTTACAGATGCTGTCCTTCTGGGGACACGAGAGGAAGCACAAGAAAGGAACTGGGAAAACAGGAGAATAAGTAGATTTTACTAAAAAGGAAAGGAATGGGGAAAACTGTTTTTAGTTCTTCAGAACTTTCAAAATCTTGAAATAAAAATGTTTTCCTTCTGCCTTCTGGGCCTAAATAAAAACAAAACCAAAGGAAAAGAAAGCCACAGAAATGTTAAAGCCTTTATGAGAAGATGCCAGTGACTTCAGTAGATCCAGGATGTGATCCTAAAGGAAGCATATTCTTCCCCC